AAGTTTATACATGTATCGTGCACGCCAGCTACAACTAAAACTCGGCATCAACCTCTCAATCTGCATCCGTACTAAGAGTCATAACCAAAAAAACCTTCCTCATTTTGCTTGACCTGTTTTCGACGTTAATACCCTACAAGGGTATCCGCCCCGGTCTTTGCAAGTAACAAAAATAAGTTTTGTTCGAAATTTGAGTATACCGCGCGGGTCGTGGTTGTGTTTTGTTCACGTTGACTGGGTGGTTGACTAGGAGTAGAGAATACGTGGGCGCACAGTCTTGAGGCACACATCATATTTTTTTATTAACATTATGTGTAGCCGCAGATAAGAAAATTGACTTTGATTAAACTAAGACTAAGGTGATCTTCCCTGTGGATGTGATCGTGATGCGTGTGTGCTTATACGAAGGCTGAGTTCGACAGCAGTGCGACCTTTGTATAGTAAACGGAGCGAATGGTGGGGTAAAAACGCGGATGGGGCCGCCGAGCGGTAGGCGTGGGGCTTGATGGTTCTGGATACGACTGTAGACCAAGGAGTGGCTTTGAGGTATTTTTGTAGGCCCGCGTGCTGTACGACACCAATTTATATTGGATTTTGCAGGAGTCTGTCTCAGCCTTGGGCACAAGCATTATTGGTTATGTCATTAGAGTTTCATGCGGCAGGTATGGGGATTGAGGCCAGCAACCGGCGGCAAAGGGGCATTGGAGCGATTGAAGATACCGAGGGGTTGAAGGCCTTACAGGCTATCCCCTTTGGTTTTGTTTTTGTCCCAGTCGTGGGCCCAGTCAACGGAACTGAGAGCGGCATCGAAGGTCTCCCTTCCCCAAAAACACTGTCGTATTTTTATTTTTACTTTCATTTTTACTCCCTTAAGTTAGTTGCCGGTCCCATTTCTGGGACGAGACACCAGTGTTGGTACCGGGGTTGTGTGTGGGGACCAGTGGGCGTAGCTCAATTGATACACCCATGAAATGTTGAAACACGGGCTAAGGAGTTCAACATGCATGTTAGCAGATGGGTGACTGGCCCATGAGGCGGAAGAAACCTAAGTGGCTAGGACCCTCCGCGGGTGCACCATCCGCCAACCACGATTGATTGTGGGAATTGATTGTGGGCATGTTGATGGGGCCGGTGCCGGTGCTGGTTTTGGAATCGACGCTGAGGCCCGTTGGCTAGCACAATTGGTACACCCACGATCTGCCATGAGAGGTACGCATGTGAGCATACCCGTTGGGACCAGAAAGATGGTGAGTCGTGCCTGTGCGCAGTGGGACAGGCACACCAGGGCAGAGGCCGCAGTGTGCGGCTGTTCACATGGAACCCGCCTCCACTTCGGTCTTCAAAGTTTTTACTATAGTATTCGCTACGACCACCAAGGTTTGCCTTAGGACCCGCTTCGCCTGGGCTCACGCTGCATGCTGCGCAGCAGGCCCTGCACCCTCCTCCTCGTCGTGGCTTCAAAATCACCACTGGCCGAGCTATAGGCCGGGCGCTTCGGCGCCATCCATATTTTTGGGCAGATTGATTTTTTGGGCAGATTGATTCGGCAGGTGAGTTGTTACACACTCATTAGCAGACTTCAACTTTCATGACCACCATCATGTTGTCAGTAACAATCGACATCATTTGTGGTCTCTGGGTTAGTGTACACTTTGGCACCGGCGGGCCCAGAGGAAGCTCCAGTGGAGTCTTGCAGCGATACTGACGTGCAAATCGTTCGTCACAGCTGGGTATAGGGGCGAAAGACTATTCGAACCGTCAAGTAGCTGGTTCCCCTCCGAAGTTCCCTCAAATTGCAGGTACCCTTTAAAGTTTGCCTTAGAATAGCGGAGCTGTTGGACAACCGCGTGCACGACTTTGTGACCGTGCGCTGCCAAGCAGAGCTTGATGCCAACACAGTAGAGGTGAAGACGAAGGCAGACACCGGGGAAACAAAAAAGATGACGGAATAGAAGAAAAGAAGAGAGGAGGGAACTTGATGGAGGAGCATTAAAAGAAGATAAAGGCGGAAAGGATTGAATTGAACCTAGGCACGAATTGGCGCCAAGTACAATTAGATATGGCGGGAGTAAACTGCTATACCCCACTCATTTCCTAACGAAAACAAGCGGGGAAAAGTGGTAAACGGGGTTTTTTTGGAGACAAAATGGAAAACGTGTGCCGAAAGTGGTAGACGGTTTTTTTTTGGAGACAAGATGGGAAACGTGTGCCGAAAAAACAGAAAATTTCGAAGTTGGGGGGAAGGGGGATGAAAAGGTGAAGGAGAGAAGAGAGAAATGGGTGGGAGAGAGAAAAAGAGTGAAGGGGGAGAGGAGGGTGAGGGAATGAGAGGGATAGGGATGGGAAAGGTGGAKAGGGATCAAGAAGCAAAGAGAGAAGAGGAGAAATA